TGGGTACATCTAGTTTTATATGCAACTGGTGTGGATCTTAATGCAGTTTCTACAGGCTAACTCACTGTGCACTTGGTCCGGACCAGCTCAAAGTTGACCTAGCCTTCCATCCTTCCGAGGTGGGTAAAACGAGGACCCAGATTGTTGTGGGGAAAGAGGCTGACTTTGTAAACCACTTAGAGAGGGCTGTAAAGCCCGGTAAAGTTATATATAAGTAAGTGCTATTGCTATCTCCCTCCCTCCCTCCCTCCCTTCCTTCCTTCCTCCCTTCCTTCCTTCGTTCCGGTTAGAATGCAGCATTGCAGGCTAACTCTCATGGTTCAATTCTCATCAGGCTCAAGGCTGACTCAGCCTTCCATCCTTCCAAGAATGGGAAAACGAGGACCCAGATTATTCGGGGCCAGAGGCTGACTCTGTCAACCGCTGAGAGGGGGCTGGGAAGCACTGTGACGCGGCGTATAAGTCTAAGCGCTATTGCTACTGCTATCAAATGTGCTCCTAAAAGCTTCCCTGGTAGTAGCTGCTGCTGAAGGACAGCCGTGAATGTCTCTGGGAAAAAAAAAAACCCGGAATGGCTCCATTACCACTCCTATGTTAATGAAACGATTTTAATATTACAATAAATGAGGTTCCCCCCCACAATCCTTCCTGTATTAAAGGGAATTGGATGGTTATTAGAGCATATTTCACGAAGACAGAAAGGAGCTCTAATATGTGCTTGACTCTTAAAGCAGTTAATCCTATATTAATTGTACTTGGGATCCATCTGTCCTTGTCGGATGGCAAAGCATTCATCACTCAAAAGGCGGCTGGAGCCTCTCTGAAGGTGGAAGAGCTCCCCCTGCAGGACGACTCTGGTACCAGCCGAGATTTATTTAATTATTTGATTTATATTGCTGCCTATTCGCCCATGACGACTCGAGGCGGCTTACACAATGTAAAATCATATTTAAAACAAAAAATAAAAACAAAAACAATAAGAACTAACAAAAAGAATCAAATAAATTAGTAAAGTACAATAGAACAAAATTTGGGAAAACAAAAAAAACAAAAGAAAACAAAAACCAACTCCCACCCACCCCGATGACAGCGGGTCACACTAGCCTTCTGATGGGTTCCATCCCTCTCTGGGCTCCCCAGGCCCGCTGGCAAAACCAGGTCTTCTTCAGTGCCTTTCGGGACAGTATTAACGAGGGGGCCATTCTAATCTCTGGGGGGATGAGGTTCCAGAGGGAGGGAGCCACCACAGAGAAGACCCTTCTTCTGGGTCCCACCAGGTGTATCTCCCTCAGGGGTGGGACCCGCAGCATTCCCTGCCTCCTCGCTCTGATGGGTCGGGTAGATGTCACTGGCAAGAGATGTTTCCTCAGATCACCTGAGCCATGAAGGGCTCTAAAGTGGACAGCTAGCACCTTGAATTGCACCTGGAAGCAAATTGGCAGCCAATGCAGCTCCTGCAGGAGAGGTGATACATGTGCACACCAGGGTCTGCATAAAACCATGCGGGCAGCTGCATTTTTCACCAACTGGAACTTCCAGATGCTCTTCACGGGCAGCCCCATGTCGAGCGCGTTGCAATAATCAAGACGGGAAGTGACCAGGGCCTGAGTGACTGTGAGTAGGGACCGTTGATCCAGGAAAGGGCGTAACTGGTGCACAACCCGCAGTTTACTTTCAAGAATAGGCTGGACTGCCACCTGTCAGAAATGGTGTAGGGTCTCCTGCTTGGTGGGGTGGGGGTGGGGATTGGGCTAGGTGATTTACAAGGTCCCTTCCAACTCTGGTAATCTATTATCTGATACCGAAAGTGATCTTGTGCAGTCCCGAGACATCCCATGGGAGCGGACTGCAAAGGCTCACCATCTAGCTCTCTGAACGTTGGGACAGTTACTAAAACATCTTCTTTGAATGTGACTGGACAATGGGGAGATAACGTGTGTGTGTGTGTGTGTGTGTGTGTGTGTGTGTGTGTGTGTGTGTAACAGAAAAGGGAAAGTTAACTATCAGTAGGGAATCTTTGCACGCAAACTCTTAGTTCTGGCTTTGCTACCGTAACCATTTGGCTTTTAGTAAAAGTAACCTTTTCCCTACAAATGGAGTCGAGAGTGTTTCTTTCCTAAGAGGCCAGAATCTGCCAGGTCTGACAGTTATTGAAATATGACATATCTCTCCCTATCCTCCCATTCTCTAGGGAAAAATACCTATTGATGCATTAAAGGAAACCACTAATTGGTGTGATTTCCAGGAGGGGAAGATATGTATTTGTTTGCTTTATGATAATGGCTTCAGGCTCCAATAAAGTTCCTGCGTTCGTAATGATATTAGCCAAGTAATCAGTTTGTGGTTGATTACAGAGGCGGAATTAATTTAAACTCTTCTGTTATTTTTACTGGCTCAGTTTTAGATTTTTGAATTTCTCCATCATATTTTTCCTCCAGAAGCTTTGTAATGGCAGAATAATAAAAAGTAACTGAGTTGAACTGACGGAGTTACTACTTATTGTGGAATGTGTTTTTTCACTTTCTGCCCAGGAGGTACTAGCAGAGTTATTTCCTTTTTCACTTCCAAGTTCATACAACTCTCTCTCTCTCTCTCTCTCTCTCTCTCTCTCTCTCTCTCTCTCTCTCTCTCTCTCTCTCTCTGTATGGTTGATATCTGTTTCCATAGTATGTTCGTTCTGTAGTCCAAACTCAAAAGGGCAACTGAGTTTGCAAATTATACTGAACTATAATTACAGCTTGTTTTGCTTTGGCAAAAAGTGTGAACTTCTGAAGAGCTTCTGAATTTGGTCTTTGCAATGGGATGGGTGTGCTAATCTCATTGTGGTTGATTGGGATGCAGGACAAGGCACGGTGTTTTGCCACCTGAAGAGTGTGACTAAGTCTGATGTGTAAAACTGCCAATGATTTATTTATTTCTGTGCCACTCTATTTCCAAAGGTACAAAACAACCTGAATAAAGAGGAGGCCCGGGCGGGGGCGGGGGGGAGAAGGGGATGGTCCAAGTGGGGAGGAAGGAAGGGGCTTCACATCAACCTTAACAAGCCTGACTTTGGGTTTTAGGGCCCCATGGAAGCAGGGATTTTTTCCCAGAAAGATGGTGGAATCTCCTTCATTGGAGATCTTTTTTTTAAAAAAAATAATTTTTATTAAAGTTTTACAAATAAAAAAAAAAACCACAAATCATTTTACAATTTTTGCAATTCATTGTGTAGCATCGGTTTTTCCCGTCTTCCATTATTCATATTTACCTTATACATTAGACCTTATACACATATCTATTATTCCTGTTATCTATCCAAGCATACAAATTCTCCCAGACCGTATAGAATTCTCTTTTTTCCTTCTCTTGCAACTCCATAGTAAGCCTATTCATTTCCTCACAATCCATAATTTTTTAAATGAACCTATTATCCGTGGGATTATCCTCCTTCGTTGGAGATCTTTAAGTGGAGGGTAGACAGTGATCTATCCGTGATGCTTATAACTCTAAAGCTGCCCTACGTGGCCTCAGCAGCCCTTCCAATTTGCGGTTCACAACAGTGAATCTCCTAATTCAGGGGTGTCAGACTCGATTTCATTGAGGGCTGCATCAGAGTTAGGGTGTGCGTGTGTGTGTGTGTGTGTGTGTGTGTGTGGTCAGCTTGACGTCCCTCGTGTCGCGGGCGCCTGAGGCAGCCCGAGCGCTTTTCCAGTGAAATCGGGCTCCCAAACTCCGTTTTCGGCTGTGACGGCTCCTGCAACCCCCTGCCAGCGAACATGGAGCTGGGGAAGGGGGCCTGTGTGCGGCTCTTCCAAGCTCCCTTTTCTCGCTGGCAGAAGCACTGCAGGCCGGTCCTTCCCTGTTTCCAGAGCGGCCCCATGGACCAGATCTAAGCCCCTCACAGGCCAGATCTGGCCCCCGAGCTTTGGGTTTGACCCCCCCCATCCTAATTTATTCACTTTGGGAGGTAGGTTGTGTGACAAAGCAAGCTCTAAGGTCAGGTGAGACCGTGAGCTTTCATCTTGGACTGGAAACAAAACAATCTAAGCCTGATATATTTCGAGGTAATATTTGATGGGTGTGAATGTTGTGGTTGGTCTGTGTGTATCTCTCTTTTTAACCAGTGGATGCTATTTTCCCACCCCAGCGTGTGGCAGCAAGTAATTCCATGCACACATTTTCATGCTGAGAAAGGAGGTTTCTTCTTTCATATATTGCTTCTCAGGCTGGCAAAGATGAAATGCTCTCTCTTTTTTTTCCTTCCCGGGTTCAAGAAACCCACTGAACTCTGATCCTGAGCAGACAAAACACAAGAGCCACGTTCACATCGCATGCAGTGTCTGAACAGAACCCCTAAAATAAATCCTGTGTTTTGCACAACCTGCTAAGATAATAGCTGGCTTCCCAGAAAATGCTGTGCCAGCGGTGACTTCTGCTTCTGGCCTGGCCTTGGGGGGTGGCAAAGCAGCCCTTTCTCTAGTGGGCCTTCTGGGGGGGGGGGGGGGGGGGGGGGGGGGTTTTGCTTTTAATGCCTAGCTGATGTTTTGGCTTCTGCTATTGTCAGGAATTCAAATGGATTAATCCATATAGGTATGAATTAATTGTGGCCTCAGCTTAGGACCACAATTGACCCCAACATTTTGTTACTAAGTGAAACATTTGTTAAATGAATTTTGCCCCATTTTACGACCTTTCTTGCCACGGTTGTTAAATGAATCATTGTAGTTGTTGAATTAGTAATATGGTCGTTGAGTGAACCCAGTTTCCCATGGATCAGTCCACCTGCCACTTCCCAAGTGTCTGAGGCTTTTTTCTTCCTGGTGTTGGGGTGTGTGCGTGCACCTGTGCGTGCTCTTTTTCTTATAAACTTTTGCGCGAGTTAAAATCTGCATGGAGGAGAAGGGGAGTTTGTGCTAAAAAATCCCAAGTAGCACGAGATAAATTGGGGCTGCCTTTCTTGAGATAGTACTTTGCAGCTTCTGGACAAATGATTAATCCTCTGCTTTCTTGCTTTCCAGCCTGTTCCAGCACTACTGCTACAAGAAAGGAGGCATGCGGCACACTTCCTACACCTGCATCTGTGGCAGGTAAAGCATTGGAGGGTGGGGGCCATTGATTTCCCAGAGCGTGGGATTAATGTGGAGCTTGTACACAACAATAGGGAAGCTTTTAAATTAAGTGCGGGTTATTTAACATGCGTAGATCGAATACTTCAGTGAAAAAAAAAAACGAAAGCCAGGAAAGGTTTATTGAGTAAGGCCCATAAAAATGGAAGACCTTGGAGTAGCTGATCCTGGCATTGGCCATGCTGAGAGCTGGGTGTCAGGACTCCTAGTAATACAACAAACAGAACTCCGAGGCAGGCAGGCTCCTCAAATAGTTTTATTGGACATGTCATATTGGCATAGGCTGGTGAAAACTGATTCTGAAGATTCCCGTGGTTTTCACCTAATTAAAAGTAGAAGTTTTTCCCCTTCCCCAAACAGTCGGTCCCATGGTCCAATCAGGTTGCTGTCTGGTTGTCTGGTAACTTCACTTGTCCTTTCTCCATTCACCAGTGAAAATGTCCTTGGTTCCCAGGAGAAAGTATTTTGTTTTGTCTACAAAACCATAGCTATCTCTATTCCCCCCCACCTCCCTATCCCTCCGCTCCAGTGTGGCAACACTGAAGCCTCCAAATGGTGTTGGGCAGGTCAGCTCCAGGGTTGACGTTGGGGCGATCGCTGGCATATTCACTCTGTGGCAGAGTTCCCCCAACCTTTTCGGCTTTCCGGGTTGGCGTTGCAGGGGAAAGAGGGGCTGGTTCTGCACACGTGGTGGGCCAGCGCGCACCCACAGCTCCATTTGCGCGAGTGTTGGGGACATGGCGCCTGACGCTCACACAAACAGAGCACCCCTCCATGCACTTACCCACTGCTCGCCTGTTTGGAGATGTGTGCACTCGCTCACCACTTCCGTGGCCCGGTTCCAAAAGGCTCAAGGCCCAATAGTGGGCCAGGCGTTGGGGACCCCTCCTCTAAGGGATACCAGCAAGCAAGAATATCCTTAGGCCCAGAATCCAGAAATGTTACCACTTGTGCCTTTTCTATAAATTTTCCAAGTTTTTTTGTCCCCTCCTTTGGTCTGTGGCTATTACAACGTAGAATTTATTGCATGCGTGTCCAAGTGTGTCTAGAGATTCTAAGTCGTCCAGGTCAGTGGTGGTATTTTACCGGTTTGGCCTGGTTCTACTGAGCCGGTAGCGCCAATGAGCGGCGGAGACGAAACCGGTTTCTGCCATTGGGCCCACCCGCCCACCTGGGCTCTCATACTCACCTTCATCCTCTGCTTTTGAAGCACAGCTGCTTTGCACGGCACAGGAGAGTGCTGCACGGCAGCTGCTGAAGTGACCAGGAGCGTGCAGGATTGCAGGAGGTGATTCGGAAAGCCTCTGCGCCTGCGCAAAGTGCGCATTTGGAACCGGTGGTAGAAATGTTTCAAACGCACCACTGATCCAGATCCTGGTTGTCTCAAAGGTGCTTTTGAGGCAACTGGACTTTTTGTTTATTTTCTTTGGACAGGTTTCACTTCTTCATCCAAGAAGCTTCAGCTCTGATTGGATGGTGGGGAAGGGAAGGATTTATGCTCCTTGTACACAGCTGGTCATTTGCATCCTTTTAGAGGGTCATTGAGGCCACTTGGAGGTTTATCTGTGTCCTCAGGGTCACCTGAGTGGTGCAAATGGTTCCTGCAGTCTGCCATTTTTTTCCCCCTCTGGAAATCCATTCCTACTCCCACATCTGTCAGGCTACAGAACTTTTTCCCATTCAATGAGCAAGAATGAACTTCTGAGAACCAAATGTATCAAAAGGAATCCTTTATTGAGATGAGACAATTCATGTAGGAGTTCAAAGCAGCGTCTGAGGTCTCTCGGGCATACAGGGATACGTAAGGGAGTTTAGAACCCTTCCCCTTATCTCGATGTGTATTTAGAGAAACAAAAGCCAGTATGTGAATTCCCCTCCCACCCCTTCTGTAGGAACGATCTTCCTCACAGTTTCCCAGGACATACCTAATTTCCCCCCACCCTCTTTTTAGAATGAACTTTTCCAGAGATTCCCAGGACACATCTCACTGGGGAATTTTTATGTTCTTCTCATCTCCTGGCTGTGCCTCTCAGAGGTGACAGGTTCCGGCCATCTGGCTTTTCTCCCTCCATTGTATCATGTGCGGGTTATACAAATTCGATGTAAGGTTAAATATATTCAGGTTACATCAAGAAAGGATTTCTTTATCAGCCTCCGCCGCCCTTTTCTTCTTCCACTGAAGAAATACACGGATCTGACAACATCATTTGAAGAATGTTCATCCCAAATTGCATAGCTAAAAGTCTGTAAAGATTCTATGTCTTCCAGGTCCTGGTTGTCCCAAAGGTTGCCCACCCTTTGCCACCCGGAATAGCCATGGCATTGGGGAGTGGATGAAAACCACCCTGATTTTTGAAAAATGGAGTGGTGCTACTACTGGAATGGCAGGTGGGTGTTGCCACTTCGACACACCCAAAGGTGCCTTTCCAGGACGCAACAGGACTTTCTGGTTTTTTCTTTGAAGACTTTTCGCTTCTTATTCAAGAAGCTTCTTCGGCTCTGACTGGATAGTGGGGAAGAGAAGGATTTATACTCCTTGCAGACAGCCGGTCATTTGCATCCTTTTAGAGGGTCATTGAGGCCACCTGGAGGTTTATCTGTGTCCCCAGGGTCACCTGAGTGGTGTAATGGAAGTATAAATCGTTCCATTCCCCAACCTCCAGTCAGAGCTGAAGAAACTTCTTGGATGAGAAACGAAACATCTTCAAAGAAAAAACAAGACGGTCCAGTTGTCTCTTGAAAAAGCACTTTGGGGTGTGTTGAAGTGGCAACACCGACCTGCCACTCCAGTAGTAGCACCACTCCATTGTTCGGAGGTGTTTTTCATCCACTCCCCCAATGCCATGGCTACTCTGTGTGGCAAAGGGTGGCTAACCTTCGGCTGGCAGAGGGTCCCAATAAGCAAGGCTGTGACGTGGATCAACTGAGCCGGGACTTGCGGATTCTTTTTTCTTGGGCTTTGGCTGAGGTCGGGGTGGGGATTTGTGAGACTCCCTTTGCGAGGTCAGTTCTCCAAAGCATCTTTGGGGGCTTATGGGGGTGTAGGTGTATTTCCCAACCCACAGTGGAACATTTTGGATTTGGTGCTGGGGGTTACGAAAAGACCCTCAGGCCCTCAGCTTGTTCGATTGAATTGGCCTGGAGCTCTTTCTCTGGGTGTGTTCGGTCTGCATAATTGGCTCTTTGGGGTGGGAGGGTTATTTTTCTAAAATGGGGGGGGGGTGATTCAATGGCACGACAGAAGGCTGTTCATCCACTGAGCAGATTCTGTGGGGAGAGAACACCTTTTTAATTGTTGCTATGGCTCCTGGCAGAGAGCTGAGCTGAACTAACTTGTGCCATCATAAAGCTGCTAAGTTGGCTCAATAAAAATAACATCTCGCTGATCAATATTTCCAGCAAGAAGGAAATGGGACTTAAAAAGTCTTCATTAAAAATAAAAGAAGTCATGCTGGCAAAATTAGGGGAAGTGCAGAGATGGCTGAGCAGCCATCAAGCGCTGAAATCCTTTCATGCATATTTAATCTGGGGTTAATTGATTAGCCGAATTCTGTATAAAACATCCTGTTAGTGCAAATTAGAAGTGGGCGGATTTGCTTGGCCTGCCCTGGCTTGGCTACGCGAGAAGCCACACTTTCTCTCAAATGCTGGGAAACAGCTTGGCTTATTTTAGAGCCAACCCTACATGAGGAGCTTCCAAGCTGCCTTTGGAAGGGTTCCTGGGGGGGGGGGGGGGGGGGGGGGGGGAGGAGAAGCTGTTTCTCTCGCCCTTCCATCTTTCCAGGGAGAAACAGAGAGAAGGAATGGGATACCGTGCGCCCACCTGTGCCCCCCACCTGATCTTACGGGGCAGAGATGTGCTTCCGCATGTCTCCTCCGCACTCAGCTTTTCCCTTGCCTACCTCTCCCTCCAACATGTTAAAGAATTGGAGAATTGTACCCCCAGGTCTCCTGGGTGGGTTGCTGCGATAATGTAAAGATGGGGCAGAAAAAAGCCCTTTGTTGGTTTGGGATTGGCCCTGCCACCTGATGGACCAGCTCAGTGAAATGGAAGAGAGAGGCTGGACGGCGGAAGTGCCCCAAACGTTTCTCCTCCATTCTTTCGGCACTCATTGTGCAGTTGAATGGAGTAGAAATTGCTGTCAGAACTGGTTGTAGCAAAAGTCCACCAGCACAGAGGGAGTTAAGAAAGCCTTTGAATTATCCTGCCATTTGAAAATGAACATTGAAGCGGACATGGGATTAGGAAAGAGCCCTGGTGGCTCAGTGGTTCGAATGCAATATTGCAGGCTAATTCTGCCAATTGCCAGCGGTTCAATTCTCACCAGCTCCAGGTTGACTCAGCCTTCCATCCTTCCGAGGTGGGTAAAATGAGGACCCAGATTGTTGGGGGAAAGAGGCTGACTCTGTAAACCACTTAGAAAAGGCTGTAAACTAGCACTGTAAAGCGCTATATAAGTCTAAATGCTATTGCTAGCCTTCCTTCCTTCTATCCATCCATCCATCCATCCATGGTGTGCAGTGGTTGGAATACAGTATTGCAGGCTAATTCTGCTGATGGCCAGCATTTTGATCCTGACCGGCTCAGAGTTGACTCAGCCTTCCAACCTTCCAAGGTCTGTAAAATGAGGACCCAGATTGTTGGGGTCCAGAGGCTGACTCTGTAAACCGCTTAGAGAGGGCTGGAAAGCACTGTGAAGCGGTACATAAATCTAAGTGCTATCGCTGTTGCCATTTTGGACCCTGCCTTAAAGGCTGATCATTGGTTGGATAGATGAGGAGAGAATGAGAGGAGATCCAGATCAGGAGGAAGGTGCTGTTGCAAACTCCAGCTGCTGGGCAGATTTGGTCTCTGCAAGATAAGACTCACGAAGACCTCTGAGAAAGAGCATGATTGGAACAAAAGGTACCACCAAAGGTCTGAGCAGGAATGCTACATGGCTAAACAGAGAAGATCGACT